ACCGCCAGATGCTAGCACTTATGATGTTTATTTATACATTTAAAATAATTATTCCACCGGCGGTCTTTACAATACATAGCATTACCCATCCCTAGTGAACCCAAACCTCCACCAATATTCGTTAGAAATATAAAAAATTTCCAATTAATGTGTCATCAATTAAATAATATAGTGGGCTCAGGTAAATACTTATGCCAAAGCCGCACTAATGACACGAAATTAATGCCTGACACCCCAGATACGTACAGAAAAATTGTCAAGTATTTATCTGCCACTAAGGTGGATTATCACACATATCAACTGCGCCAAGAGAGAGCGCTCAGGGTGGTGATCAGGAGATTACACCCATCAACACCGCTGGATGCCATTAAAGAAGAACTAACTGAGATGGGGTTCCGTGTTCGACAAATAGTGAATATATTCAAGGAAGATAGAGAACAGCCTGGTACAAAAAATAAAATACCGCTCTCACTATTCTTCGTTGACCTTGACAGAACGCACCAGGTCGAAGAAATCTACAAGGTCACACGCCTTTATTACACTAGCGTTGTTGTAGAAAATCCCTACACTAAGCGCAACATTGTACAATGCCATAACTGCCAGGCTTATGGTCATACGAAACGCTATTGCCACCACATTCCTAGATGCGTCAGGTGCGGTGATCAACATAAAACAGAGGACCGCCAGAAGTCCAGAAGAACACCAGCAGTATGCGCTTTATGCCATCAAGGGTACCCAGCGAACTACAAGGGTTGCCAAACATATAAGGAACTGAAAGCAAGAATTTATGCAGCTCCAAGAGAAGAACGGCCATCCAGGCCACCAAGACAACCCTCTAGAACTGTAAATACAAGAGTGTCCTATGCTCAGATGTTCAAAGGAGACACTGCACCAACACAAACTCAGGCCCTGCCACAAAAACCTCAACCTCGAGTATTCACATCTCAACCTCAAGACCCTTATCCCATCTCTGAACCTAGACCTAATAACCAGACATTCATTCCTCCTCCTCCCAATGCCACTGACCTCACAAGCCTTTTGACTTCTTTCCTCTCTGAATTCAGGTCACTCATCACTCCTCTCATTTCCTTACTTACCAATGTTGTATCCAACCTCATTCCACTGTCGAGAAATCCTTAAATGTCCCCAATCAAATCCCTCTCCGTTCTTCTTTGGAATGCGAATGGTATTCGAAATCACGTCAACGAACTAACATTCTTATTACAGGACAAAAACATTTATATAGCATTAATAACTGAAACTCGACTTACCAACAAACGACCACTTAACATCCCCAACTATCATATCTATCGAACTGACCATCCTGATGGAACAGCACATGCTGGCACTGCCATAATTATCCATCAATCCCTTCCCCATCATCTATTCCCTTTGCTAACCCATAATTTCCTACAATCCACTGCCATGATAATCCAAACTTCCCTTTACCCAATAGCAGTAGTCGCAGCATACTCCCCGCCTAAAATATCTCAGAATCCCAATTAACTTCGTTCCTTAACTCCTTAGGACACCACTTCCTTCTAGGTGCAGACTTAAATGCTAAACACCAGCAATGGGGAACCAGAACCACAAATTCCCGAGGACGAACATTGCTATCTGCACTCAATTCCCATCACAGCAACATCCTCTCACCCAATTCTCCCATATACTGGCCAACAGATCCTAACCGCAATCCCGATCTCCTAGATTTTTTCATCCACAAAGGTCTAGGATCCCTTAATTATAGCATCTCAAGACTTGATGATCTTTCCTCAGACCATAGTCCCCTATTCCTAACGGTCTCCACATCACCAATTCCCAAACCACCTCCACCTTCATTTATCAGGGGGCCAGTTAATTGGAACCTCTTCCGTCAAATACTGGATGATAATATTGACCTCAGAGTTTCCTTAAAAACACCGGCAGACCTAGATGAAGCAGTATATTCCATGACTACCTTGATCCAACAAGCAGTTTGGACTGCATCTTCACCTGATCCTTCTAAAAAATACCGCAAAATAAATCCTCTACCCCAAGACCTACTGGACCTTATTAATAGAAAACGATGCTCTAGGTTCATCTGGCAAAGAACCAGGCATCCTGATGATCGGAAATCATATAACTATTATTCCAAGCAGGTAAAACAAAAACTGGCTACGTTTCGATCTCAATCCTATAATTCCTATCTTTCCTCACTATCTGCAAGTGATAACTAACTCCCTCTGGAATGTAACTAAAAAAATCTTTAAATTCCAATCCATTTCCTACCCCCTCCGCCCTGATGATGGTTCCTGGGCTTCGTCAGATGAGAATAGAGCAGAAGAGTTTGCTAAACATCTATCGTACACATTCACTCCTCATCCTGAACTCCATCTCTCCCATACTGCTGAAGTTAAAGAATTCCTCTCTTCACCGATTCCTCTCTCCTTATCTCCTACAGCCGTCAACCCCTCTGAGGTCAAATTCCTTTTAAAGAACCTAAAACCTCGCAAATCTCCAGGACACGATCTTCTTACTTCCCAGATCCTCAGACAACTTAACAAAAAAGCAATTATATTCCTTACATACCTATTCAACTGTATCCTTCGCACAACCCACTTTCCTCTGGTGTGGAAACACTCCATAATTATCCTCTTTCCTAAACCAGGTAAACCTGTTAATTGTACATCATCCTATAGACCGATAAGCTTACTTCCGATGCTTTCCAAAATCTTTGAGAAAATCCTTCTCAAACGCATCCTACCCATACTCGAATCCCACAATATCCCTTCCCATCAGTTTGGTTTCCGCTCAAGACAATTCCACTGTCCAACAAGACCTTCGCGTTGTGGACCACATATCCTCTGCACTTGAAAACAAGCAATATTGCACTGGTGCCTTTCTGGACGTAGCTGAAGCTTTCGACCGGGTGTGGCACGATGGCTTGCTTTTTAAGCTCAAAACCCATTTACCTCAACCCTTGTACCTAGTCCTCAAATCATACCTTTCAAATCGCTCCTTTCAAGTCCGCTGCGGCACTGAACTCTCCAAACATTGTCCAATTGAGGCTGGTGTTCCACAAGGCAGTGTCTTGGGCCCAGTTCTCTACATCCTTTTCACCGCGGACATCCCTTCAAGTCCTGATACCTTCCTAGCAACATTTGCTGATGATACTGCCATCCTATCCTCCCACTCGGATCCTCTAATTGCGTCCCGGAACCTGCAAAGACACCTCTCCTTCATTGAGCAGTGGTGCAACAACTGGCGCATCAAAATTAATGAATCAAAATGTAAACATGTAACTTTCACTCTTCGACGCAGATCCTGTCCGCCAATCCTTTTTAATTCAATTCCTCTTCCCTACTCAGACACAGTCCGATATCTTGGCTTCCTTCTGGACAAAAGACTGACTTGGAACCCACGTACGAGACTTAAAAGACAAGAGCTTAACCGACGATTTGGTCAGCTATATAGACTACTAAACAGAACATCTCATCTTTCAACAGAAAACAAATTATTAATCTACAAGACCATACTGAAACCTATCTGGACCTACGGACTTGAGCTGTGGGGGACAACTAAATCATCGAATATCAAACGCATCCAATCCTTCCTGTCTAAAGTCCTTCGAACAATAGTCAATGCTCCATATTATGTCACGAACAAAACCCTACACCATGACCTTAACATCCCATATGTCCATGACATCATCCCATCCAGATTCTCCAACTTACACCAGAACCTCATACATCATCCCAATCCTCTAGCCCAATCCCTATCCAGCTCCGAGCATCCATACCATCCCCCTCGAAGGTTGAAACGGCAGTGGCCTCGAGATCTTTTGTAAATATGCCTTTGGAGTCCTGGCAATGGCCAGCTTCTCCACTCATGTCCTGAGCGTCTGTGGCTCTAGTGCCCTCTTTCAGTCTCCACTGGCTTCTAATACTAGTGATGCGGCTAGAAAAGTTTCTCTGGGATCTTCCGGAGTCTTGTTTTGCCTTCCACGTGTGGGGTAAAAAGCCTGGTTCGGAGATTCTTGGGCGAATGTATATATTGTATATAGTTATGATTGTGTTTAGAAGTTTTTATTTTATTTTATTTGTTTATTGTCATTATTTTTTCTTTTCTTTTTATTTATCTTCTTCATTAGTATTATTTATTTTCTTCTTATATTTATATTTATTTCTTTATTATTTGTATATATTGTATGAATGAGAACTTTTAGCCCTAATGCTTATAGCCCTCCAGCAGTGGCTGATTGTATTATTATTCAATTAATAGAAAAAAAAAAAGATAGAATTTATTCAAGTTCAGGTCAGTGGTATTCATGCAGAATGGTGATCGATCCAGTTTCACAAATTAATTTAATTACCACTTCGTTCCTGGTTATTCCACTTGAGATGTGCGGAATAGGTAATACCTCCATATCTTCAATCTTTTGCTGAGGTTAAAGTGAAGTTGAGTTCAATGAGAAATAGAAATATATATGAGTTTTTATGCAGAGTATTGTCCTGCATAAATAGAAGTGCCTTCATTTGCCGTGTCCCAAGAAATACGGAATAAATTTTCTTCAATAGAACTTCCAGACCCTCAAATTGCATAAGCCAGGAAAAGTTTATTTGCTTCTGGGTGCTGATACGTAGGGTGAGGTTTTATGTGACCCTGGTTTATTTTTTCAGGATCAACCGAAAGCTATTCATACCCCATTAGGATAGCCAAAGCACTATATCATCAATATTTCTTTCACGCAGACCAGCCCTTCCTTACAGGAGGAATTAAAGCGATTTTGGGGGACTGAGGAGGTCACAGCTTTGATTCTGCCTGAATCCTGAAGATGCATTTTACGAAGATCACTTTATGAATACTCGTGATCATATAAATACACTCGTGATCTTCAGGGTAGATTCATTGTTTCGCTTCCGTTTCGTTCTGACCAGCCGTTTAGCCTTGATTCCACAAGAGAGATAGCTCTACACAGATTTAGGAGAGTTCTGGAGTATAAGTCTGCCTATGCTGCAAAGATGGATGAAATGGAAGCTGTGAAAGGTGCTAATATGGGCCGGGGGAAAGACATTACCAACATTGTCGAGGCGGAAAAGAAAGCGGCCCAGACAGACAAGACCGCTAACGTCGAAGAAGAACCAAAACCTGATAATGAAGAACAAAGTGAAAATTGGAGGCCACCAGTTGTTCCAAAAAACACACCACTCCTATCTTTGAGGAAAAACCCAAAGAAATTAACCGATTTAGACAAACAGAGTGAAGATGGTGCCGATTTGGACTAAGACATTAAAGGCAGCAGCGAGGAAGGAGAATTGTTAACTACTGAACCTGGCGATGGCGACGATTCTATGGGAAGGAGGCAACGTGTGAGGAGGTCATCGAGAGCGAGAATATGAAGAATAGATAAATAGTTCATAGATGACGATTCCGGATCAGGTGATGAGCCTAGGAGGAAGAAAACCCGCAGAATTTCGGCAAATTCGAGCACGGTATCGAGCGATACAAATTGAGGAACAAAAAAAAGGAAAACGAAAACATACATCAGAATTAGATCCTCAAGAAATAGAAAAAAGAAGAAGAAGATGGCCTTGGATTCAAATTCAGATCGATCTAAGAAAAAAAAATTAAAAGGCCGAAGATTAGGTATGGACTTTCTGAGGACGAAGGAAAACCACTGAAACGGACAACAGGAAAGAAAATGAGTTACCTTGAGGTTGCCGGTTCCGATAATGAAGAGGTGGTCATAGCCAGAAGCAGGAAGCTGGTAAGTGAAGAGGAAGAAGAATTTGTACCTGAAAAAGAAGAAGGGGGGGAGATGAGAAAAATGAACATGAGGAAGTTGAGCCTGCAGAAGAAGTCCATGAAGTTTAAGGAGCTTTATCAATTTGTTAAGGGCCGGTGTGAAACCATTTCTAATCATTTAAGTTGGACGGGTATAAAGTGGACTTTTACTCCGAGTTAGCAATTAAATCCGCTAAGACACACCTTCTTGCCGTTCTCCAGGATCATGCGTTAACTTATGAAGAATTTTATACTATTCTTGTACTAGTTGAAGCCGTTCTATATTCCCGTCCTATCTGCAACATTAGTAGTCAGTCATCTGATAACCTAGATTAACTTACACCAGGTCACTATCTTATAGTCAACCGCTCCGAGCCAGACCAGAACAAGAAGAAACATCTTTGTTTCCTTAGACAAGCCGTTGGGAGATGATTTCCATGACTTTGTAATTTTTGGAAGAGATGGTATAATGAATACCTACATAAGTTGGTGCCTCGCAACAAGCGGTATACTGACTGGGAAAATTTATAGAAGGAAACCCGTGTAATTCTGCATGAAAAAGATATTGCACAGCAGGAGTGGCGGATTGCCAGGATAATAGAGACATTTCCAGGGCCTGACAGTGTAGTTCGGGTTGTAAAATTGAGGACTACTACAGCCACTTTGGTGAGACCGATGCTTGTTTACATTTTTGTAAACTTCCCGATGTTTACTTAACCCATCTAATGTCTGCATAGCCTTCTCAATATTTATATTATATTTAATTCTCCTAATATTTGCATTTTATATTTGAAAGGATGCAACACTTATTATAATATATATTAGTAATATATATTTTGTAATATATATTAGTAATATAAACTCTTTTAAAAATTAAATCTGAAAATGATAAATAAATTAAAACTTGTCTTTTAAAGGTCTAAATCGGTTGACTTTCAAGAGAAGCCCATCTAGATTTTTTAATGACCAGCCTCTTCCCTCCATTGCCACCTCTTCCATCTCACTCACCATCTTCACATACATCTCACTAAGGGAATTCAAAATTGAAGAGACCTCGTACACCGTAATGTTTTTGGTTTTGAAGGCCCGATCACACGTTTCTCCTTAAACATTTTCGTATGTGGTCTCCAAAATCATATTGAATTTGAGAGGAGCCTCCGATTCCGACAAAACTTCTGATGTCAGTCTATGTAGAGTGTCTGTCTTACTGTTGAGAAATTCCGCTACATCAATGGATTCATAACATGGAAGGAAAAAAGTCTTGAGATCCCCTCCAAAAGCTGTCTCGATCTCATACAAAGGTCCTATTGCCGCCTCCAACCGCCTTCGCTTCGTCATAACGAGTAGTGTTTTTCTTTGGTAACAACGTACATGTTTCATACACTGTTTTTGAGATTGAAAAATCTCACCGCAGTGAACGCATTGGTAGCGTTGTCTGGCATGACTTTTCATGACGAAGTTTAGCCATCTGCCTACTAAATTATTTATCGCAATGCTGACATGTGTTCATTGCTGATATTACAAAATAAGTATTTAATGAAACACACAACCACCTTCCTTTTAGGAACACTGAATGAGGAAAAGCTTCGAAAAAAAAAGTTCCTATTTATAGACTGCCTTGTTTATATTTTCAGGATTTAAAAGACGAAGTCCATGTTTACGTGTTAAGGAGAACAATAAGAGATTACAGCTTTACTGTCCATTGTTTATACTCAGATAGAGATTAAGAAGACCTAAGAGGTTGTCTATATTTTACGGATTACAGGGTCAAGGTCCGTGTATATGTACGAAGGAGAACAATTAGGATAAGGGATGAAACATCCAAAGTCCATATTCACATACCGATAAAGACTCTGTGAAATTTGCATAATTTCAAAGTTCACATTTACACATTGGCGAGAATTCTATGTGAGATTATTAAAAGATCAAAATCCATATTTTCACATCAATAAGAATTCTATTTGGAACTTTGATCAGCGAGACCATCGGGCATAGCCAGAAGGAACTTCAAGTTTTGTGAAATGTAAATATTCGGAGGAACTAGCTGGGAGGAACTTTAAGTTGTGTAATACATAAACATTAGATATGTCAAATAAAATGTTTGGATTCGGGAGTTGGGCAAGTTCAGTCTTTATAGCGTAGATACGTTAGCCTTCAACGGTTTGGAGGAGCTATAAGTCGGAAGACTCTTGTAAGGCACACTCAGTCAGTATAAAGTTAACTACTGAAATAGGTAGCTGATCGATCAAAGGATTGGAAGATACACGTAATGGTTAAGTAAACAAGATGGCTGCTATGAAAATGTTTATTAGACTTTTGGAAAAACTCAGCATCCACAAGGTTGGTAACTGACCCTTTAATGGATTGGAAGATGGATTCCATTAATAGTAAATATAACAGCTCAGAAAACATGTGGAGTCGGGAGACTATAGTGTCAATACCTGGCCGTTCAAAACATTAGGAATATTATATAAAATGTAATTTATATTCTCAAATGGATTTATATTACTAATATATACTACCGTACTCTAGCAACACTTACAAAAATATAATAAGTGCTTCACCCTATCAAATATATAATGCAAATATTAGAAAAATTAAATATAATATAAATATTGAGAAGGTTATGCATACATTAGATTTGTTTAGTAAACATCGGGAAGTTTACAAAAAAGTAAACATGACAGAGAAATCTCCAACCGGAACAAAACCTCGGAGCTGGTGCTGTATCTGCTAGGTAGAAATATGAGGGAATGTGACCTAATGCTCATGTGGCTACAACGGGGATGTGGTTGGGTGTTCATGATTAGGTTGAAGTACAAAAACGGGAGTGCGCTAAGAATATTTTAATTCTAATGCAAATGTGGCGCACTTATCACGTGACCGAATTCTGGCTCGCATAGTTTCATAAAATCGTGAAACGAGTGTCGCATCCTACCGGACTCCTTACGAATTACTGTAAGTGCTACTTCCAGACGGAAATGAAAAAAAAATAAAAGATAGAGAATTAAATGTTAAAAGTCCATTGTTTACAGTTCGATAATGATTTAAGGAATGGACCAAAAACGTCCAATCTTTTAAGGATTAAAAGGGCCAAGTCTATGTTTACGTGTAAAGGATAATAATAAGAGATAAGGGAATAAATACTCAAGTCCATTGTTTACACTTAGATAGGGATTAAGAAGATCTAACAGGTTGTTTATATCTTAAATATTAAAGGGGCCTAAGTCCATCCGCTATCTGCGTAATTGAATTATGTGTAGTGTTTACGTACCTAAAATTACTTGAAAATATTCCAATACGAAATCTCCAGAGGCCGTTTACATTATTACTAACACGTAGACTTCCTGTAAAAAATCAATATTATAATAAAAAGCAGGGAGGTTACTGCAGAGTTATAAAGGTTGGGATGGAGGGAAGAGCGCTAGATTTCCCATAAATATAATACTTGGATAGGGATTAAGAAGACCTAAGAGGTTGTTTATATTTTAAGAATTAAAGGGGCCAAAGTCTATATTTACGTAAAAAAGGAGAACACTAAGAGATAAGGGAATAAATGCTCAAGTCATTTGTTTATACTTAGATACTGATTAAGGAGTTGTTTACATTTTGAGGATTCAAAAGGGCAAAGTACATGTTTACGCGTGAAGGAGAACAATAAGAGATAAGAGATTACAGGTCCAAGTCCTTTGTTTATACTTAGATAAGGATTAAGAGGTTGTTTATATTTTAAGGATTAAAGGGGTCAAAGCCCATCCGCTATCTGCCCAATAGAATTATGTGTAATGTTTACATACCTAAAATTACTTAAAAATATTCAAATACGAAATCCCCAGAGGCCTTTTACAGTATTACTAAAATAAATATATTTTTTCCAAATAATAATAAAAAATTAAACATAAAATGTCGAATATCTCGAAAACGGTTGGTTTTAGAGTAAAAAGGACATCGGCCCTAGCTCCCGAAGGCCTCTAGGGGGATCCGTAGAATTCCATGTAGAACCCAATATCATAATAAAAAAAGTAGGGAGGTTACTGTAAGGTTATAATAGTTGGGAGGAGAGAGGAACGCGAGATTCGTCTCAAATATATATGATCCGGTTTACATAGAATAATGAATAATAAAAAAAGAAATATATTATTTTGAAAAACAATAAAAACATAAAATGTCGAATATCTCAAAAACGGTTGATTTTAGAGCAAAAAGGACATCGGCCCTAGAAAGGTAGCCCCGAAGGGCTCTAGTGGGGTCCGTAGAATTCCATGTAGAACCCATTACCATAATAAAAAATTAGGAAGGTTATGATGGTTATAATGGTTAGGATAGAGGGAGAAGCACCAGATTTGCCATTATGAAAATTGTAAACAATAGGGAAGTTATAGAAAAACAAAATGGCGGACAAAGTACAAATGTCTCTCAAATCGCTGTTCACGTGACCGATCACGTGACTCTGAAAAGGTAAACAATGAGAAGGTTATATGAGGGTTACATGATCGAAAAG